GGTGCTGCTGGTGGTGGTGGTGGTGGCGGTGCTGCTGCTACTTCTGTTGTTGCTGCTGCCTCTATTGTTGCTGCTGCTTCCTTTGTTGTTGCTGCTGTTGTTGCAGCTGCTGGGGTTGCTGCTGCTTCTGTTGCTGCTGCTTTTGTTGTTCCTGCTGGTGTTTCTGCTTCTCGTGCTGCTGCTGCTGCTGCTGCTGCTGCTGCTGCTTCTGTTTCTGACGCTGCTGCTGCTGTTTCTGTTGGAGCTGCATCTGCTGCTGGCGAACGCTGGCTGCCGCACAACGAGCCTTGTTTGTTAAGAACCTGCTGTTGCTGCTGCTGCTGCTGCTGCTGCTGCTGCTGCTGCTGCTGCTGCTGCTGCTGCTGCTGCTGCAGCATTTGTGGTGGAGGAGACCCCGACGCGGGAGGCGTTTCGTCGGTGGCTGCTGCTGCTAGTCAACTCTGTGCAGGCGCTGCAGTTCACCAACCGCCAGGCAGAAGCTGAGCTGCAGCAGCTGCAGCACCAGCAGCAGCAGCTGCAGCAGGAACTCGCGGTAAGACATGCATGCAGCAGCAGCACCAGCAGCAGCAGCAGCAGCAGCAGCAACAACAGCAGCAGTAACTGAAAACATGCTGCATTTGTTGCTGCTGCGGATTCACCTCAATGCTGCTGTTACTGCCATAATGATCGTTGCTGCTGCTGCTGCTGCAACTGCTGCTGCTGCTGCAACTGCTGCTGCTGCTGCTGCTGTTGCTCTTACTGCTGCTGTTGCTGCTGTTTCTCTTACTGCTGCTGCTGCTGCTGCTGATTGTCGCTTGCGCGCTGCTGCTGCAGCACCAAAAGGATTCAGCAGCTGCGTTGAAACTGCAGCTGGCAGACGCAGAGCTGCAGCAGCAGCAGCAGCAGCGACAGCAGCAGCGGGCGCTCTCGGCGGAGAAGGCAGCCAACGAACTCCTCAAGGTAAACACCCCGCAACCAGCAGCAGCAGCAGCAGCATCTGCAGCAGCAGCAGCAGCAGAAGCAGCAGCAGCAGAAGCAGCAGCAGCAGAAGCAGCAGCAGCAGAAGCAGCAGAAGCAGGAGCAGCAGCAGCAGAAGCAGCAGAAACAGCAGCACTATGGCTTTGTGCGTCTCGTAGAAGCAAAACTAACCGCTGGCGTGCTGCTGCTGCTGCTGCTGCTGCTGCCGCTGCTGTTGCTGCTGCTGCTGCTGCTGCTGTTGCTGCTGCTGCTGCTGCTGCTGCTGTACACAGGTGAAGCTTGCGGGTGCGTTGAATGCAACAAGCGAGCAGATTGAGCGTCTGCTGCAGCCCCCTGC